CGATCTGGCTTGGTGTCACTGGGGCTGTGGGTGCGGGGGCAGAGGGGTCTGCCTGGTGCAGGGGGCCCAGTCGGCAGTACCCGGAAGCAATGGCCTCGGGAAAGGAGGAAATAACGTGGGGGTCTGTGCCCGACCGAGCTCCCGCCAGCCCCGCGTTTCCCAACCTCTGACTCACGCCTGCCTGTCACAAGCTGTGAGTCATTCCCAGTGTAAATAAATACATCAGGTGCCTGCGTGGCACATGGCCGGGCAGCTGTTGGCCTCCCACCATGGCCTGGCTCATAACCCAATGGCCTCGGGAAAGGAGGAAATAACGTGGGGGTCTGTGCCCGACCGAGCTCCCGCCAGCCCCGCGTTTCCCAACCTCTGACTCACGCCTGCCTGTCACAAGCTGTGAGTCATTCCCAGTGTAAATAAATACATCAGGTGCCTGCGTGGCACATGGCCGGGCAGCTGTTGGCCTCCCACCATGGCCTGGCTCATAACCCCCCATTTTCCGGGATGGGGAGATGGACATGGAGGGAGCATCGCCCCCCAAACTCTCCCCCCATCCTGGCTGGCTCAGTGGGGCAGGGAATGGGACACAGGGCCCATCCCTTTTAGGGGCTGTTGGCTACCTGGCCCCAGGGCAGGGACAGACTGGCTGGCTGTCTGGGGAGGGGGGGAGGTTGCAGAGGAGTTGAACAGGGGCCTGTCCTCTCTAGGGGTGCCAGCTCTGCAGGGCTATGGGGTGGGGGCTGGGTAAAAGGGTCTGTGCAGAGGATTTCCCAGCCATGGGCGCTGCTCCAGCTTCTGCCAGGAGTTGCAGCATCCTGGCAGCTGGTTCTTCCAGGATTTCTCAACCTGGGTCTAGTGGGTGGGATTGCAACCCAGAAAGGGGGCCAAGGCACTTACCCTGCAGCAAACACCTCCCAAGCCTGATCTCCTCCCCGAGCTCTGGCAGTGTCCCTCACTCCTGACCTGCAGTTCCTGCTAGCTAAGCCCTGTCCCCCTGAGCCTGGCTGGTGCCACTCACTCCTAACTTGCAGCCCCTGCCAGCCCAGCCCGGTGCCCTCCTGCCCCAGCAAGTGAAATAATCACACAGTCCAGTGCCCCAAGATTAGCTAAATAGGTGGGCAAACTGAGACATAGAGCTGTACCTACACATTTCTGGAAATTGAAGTGAGAGTCAGTTTTGCATGGACACCTGCTAGGTGTCCATTGGCCTTCCTAATTCATGGGACCTTCAATAACCTCACACACTTTGCTCAGGAAACATGAAATTTGTTGGCTAATTACCATGAGCCTGGTGGCTGGCTGGGCCTGTTTTACCACCCTTCCACAAGGGCTGTACTTGGGGTGTCACCTTCCCAACAGGCAGTGCCTGGGATACAAAAAGGAAGAAGCAAATTAGCTGACAGGACGTGAGTGGACAGTTTCCAGCTGTAGCACATGGGGCTGTGTGTGGGGGAGGGGATGGGGGAGAAGACAAGGATGTCCTATGTGGGGATTGGGTGCCAATCTGCCATAAGGGGGCATCGTGGTGCAATATGCACACTCCACTGGGCAGGCAAGGGGACTGACAGTATGCTTGAAGGTCCAACAGATTGCAGGGCAAGAGGGTTACAGCCAAGACATGGAGTGGTTCCTGTCTCACTCTGAAATGTGCAGCTTAGGTATGAGAATGTCCCATTGACTTAAGTGAACTGGCTCCTGATTGACTCCAGAGTGAATGAGGGGGAAGTTAGCCCTTTGACTCCAGTGGAGTGACTCCAGATTCACTCCAGAGTGAGCAAGGGGGAAGCAGCCCATTGACTACAGTAGAGTGATTCCTGATTGACTCTGGAGTGAGGGGATAATTGGCCCATTGACCCCAGTGGAGTGACTCCGGCTTGACTTGAGTGAATCTAAGACTAACTGGGGTTTATGGGTCAAGCATTTTGTCCCCTCCATTCTCCACCAGGGTTGGCGAGTTTTATTGGCTGGAGGCAAAACACAGTGGCTGTGTCTAGACTGGCCAGTTTTTCCAGAAAATCAGCCACTTTTCCGGAAAAACTGGCCAGCTGTCTACACTGGTCGCTTGAATTTCTGCAAAAGCACTGACTTCCTACTGTAAGAAATCAGTGCTTCTTGCGGAAATACTATTCTGCTCCCGTTCAGGCAAAAGTCCCTTTTGCGCAAAGCTTTTGCGCAAAAGGGCCAGTGTAGACATATCAGATTTGTTTTGCGCAAAAAAGCCCCTATCGCGAAAATGGCGATTGGGGCTTTTTTTGCGGAAAAGCGCGTCTAGATTGGCACGGACGCTTTTCCGCAAAGAGTGCTTTTGCGGAAAAGCGTCCGTGCCAATCTAGACGCTCTGTTCTGAAAATGCTTTTAACGGAAAACTTTTCCGTTAAAAGCATTTCTGGAAAATCATGCCAATCTAGACGCAGCCAGCCAGACAAAGGACTGGTGCCTGGCCTTGCACCTCACTTTGACATTGGGGTTTTTCTTGGGGAGGGGGACTTGTGCAGGAGTGTCTAGTTTAAATTTTTGTTTTGATTTGCCATAAAATTTGGTATTTTCTGAAAGATTCACAGACTCCTGATCTTATTCTGACTTCTTATTGTTCATCGCCCTTTCCCCCGCACTCTAATCCACCAGCCCAGGGAAAGGGCCCAGGAGTCCTTGCTTCCAGGCCCCCCCCAGCTCTAACCAGCCCCTACTTCCCTCCCAAAACTGGGGAGAGAACCCAGGAGTCCTGGCTCCCAGCCAATAGCCCTTCATCCCAGAGCCGGGAATGGGCTGGAAAACCACTGGCTGAGAGCCCCGGGCTGCTCCCCATCCCCGTGTGACTCTATAACCAATGACTCAGCAGCTCTCTGGGGATTTTTCCAGCGGCTGAGGCCCCTGCCGGTATCTGTCGCAGCCACACGTCATCGTCATCCTCCTCCAACCTCATGTGTGCTTGTCAGCCCCCTCACTTCCCGGTGGTGACCAGCAGGCCACTGACACGGAGAGAAGCTGTGTTTAAAGTGGATGTGCAATCTAGGCCTGATCGATTTGTGCTCTACCTGGCACTTTTCCATGTGCTGCCCAAGTGCTGAGGGTTCCCAGGGGATGAGGCAGGAACACCTGGTCTCTGTGGGGCTGGGAGGGACCAAATTCACCAAGGCTCCATTTAGCCTGGGGATTGGGCTGAAACCAGGCAGTGGTGGGGGAAGCATTGTGAAAGACAAATTGCACAGTTTGTGTGTGTGGGGGGGGTGGGGGTGGGGGTTGGATAGGTGAAACAGAAAAGATGGTGCAGCTGGTTATATAGGGACCCATTCTCGGCACTGAGTTATAGCCAGCTCTGGGACAGGGCTGCTGGTTACACAGGGACCCCTCACTCAGTGCTGAGATGCAGCTCCCTCCAGCAGGGTGGCTGGTTATACAAGGACTCTTAACCTGGCCCCTGTAGCCCCTCAGTGCTTGCTGCCCCCTGGTGGTCATGTGGAAGAAGGCAGGAGACACCAGACTCGGTGTGTTGCTTTACTGATTTATTATTGTCCTGTTTACATTTCAGCCTTCTGAAAAGAGCGACGCTTCCACAGCCGAACCTTGGAGAGCTCTAGGGCGAACCATGGCTAAGGGTCTCTGTGTAGTGTGAGACTGTAGTGCAGTTGCAGTGTCATGGGGAGGGCATAGAATGACCTGCAATGCACTGCATCATGCTGGTGGAGGGCAGTATAGCTCGGGGATAGACCCACAACTGAGCCCCACCCCCAGCTCTGCCCTGTACTTCTGACTTGCAGCCGCTGCTAGCCCAGCCCTGAGCTCCCCCTCGTGCCCCTCACTCCGAACTCTTGGTCCCCTGCTAGGCCAGTCCTGTGGTGCCCCTCGCTCCTGACCTGTAGCACCTCAGCTATTTCAAGCTCTGGGCTATTCTAAGCTCCTATCACACACTACTGCAGAACAAGGGCAGAAAGCTCCATTCAGCTACAGAACCTGCCTTTGAAGGGGCTCGGTAGGAACAGTGCAGACTGTGGCTAAGGTCACATAGTGTGTCAGCCATTGGCTAGGAACACAACCCAATAGTTCTGGTCCCCAGCCCCCACTCTCTGACCACCAGCCCCTACTCCCATCTCAGAGCCAGGGAAGAGAATCCAGGAGTCCTGACTCCCAGCCCCCCTGCAGTAACCCACCAGCCCCCACTGCCATCTCTTGGTCCTTGGATTTCCATCCCTTCCTCCAATTCTTCTACCTATCTGGTGGAATCCTAAGAACAATGTCCCCCTACTGGCTGTTGGGGGTATTGCAAGTTCGCATAGAGTCTGAGTCACAAAGATCCAGTTCAAAGTGGGGAAAGGAAAAGCACTCAGACCCTGGGTCACAGGTGGGGCAACTGCCTGCCTGTCTCAGCTGGAGCAGCCCCAAGGGAGTCAGTGCCAGGCTATGTTTACAGGTAGAGTTACAGCAGGACGCTCCCCAGCTGTTCCCCTGAGCAGGTGAGAGATCAGCTCCCATTCAGTACATAGAAGCAGCCCTCTCTGGGACAGGGCAGCGGGTTACACAGGAAGCCCTTGCATGACCCGGAGATGCAGCCTCCTCTGGGGTGGAGCATCTGGTTACATGGGGTCTCCTTGCATGGTGCTGAGATGCAGCCACTGCTGGGGCAGGGCAGCTGGTTATACAGGGACCAGATATTGAAATGCAGCCACCTCTGGAGCAGGTCATGGCCTCTGCTTAACAACTGCATGCAACTTTATGAGAACATGGGCCAGAAAGCAAAGGATAAAACCCATGGGTCCTCTGCTCCCTTTTCTCTGGGTTTGTCCTGGCTGTGGCCAAGTTGCCCTCTCCAGAGAGAACTCCCCTGGAAGCGTCGCTCTCACAGCTGTACAAAGTCACCCAACCAGAGGACAGGGACTATCTGTGCAGCTACCATCTGTCTGTCCAGAAGCAGGATTGTGCAAAAGCAGGGAGGGGGGAATTCCTGGATGGGGGGGCTTGTAGCCTCCCGTGCTCCCCATCCCTTGCTGGAGCATTATTGCTATAGGAAGAGCTGGCTCAGAATGATTGATGGTTTTTTGTTGTTGTTCATTTAAAGCAGAGAAAGAAATTAAAGTGGAAAGCGAGACATCCCAGGGAGGGGTGTGCATTGATCTGTATCCTTCTGCCACTATGAATGGGGAAGAAAAATAGTTCCCAGAGGGAATTCCATGTGTCCCCAGCAGGGGGTGCCAGAGAGTTGGGACAGAGCAGGCCCACGTAATAGCCATATTGGTGGGTGCTCAGGGAAGTCCCTTGCTGTTCTCCACGCCAGCAGCCTTCCCCTGCAGCCAGGGTCTGTCCCTGATCCTTCTCCCTTGCACAATGCCTGCCTCCCATTATTGGGTCCCCTTGGCCTTTGCACCCCCACTCCAGGCCTCACTCCTGCAAGGTCCTCATGGTCCCTCTGATCGTGCTAAGAGATGGACAAAAAACTGAAAACCAAAATCAGCAAAACGGCTGAACCAGCAGAGGCCGCCAGCGGCACTGAGCAAGGTCGTGCATCGCTAATTAACGAGGGTTTGTTAGAATGATAAATTAATCCCATGGTTGACAGCCCATGCCTCTGTCTGAGGTGGTGGCCTGTCCCTTTAAAAACAGGAGCATGAATCTTGCAGGAGGCGAAGCAGCAGGCGAGATCCGGTGCGTAAGCTGACGGGGAGAGCAGAGCTTGTTGCCCGCCAACCCCTTGGCTCATGCCCGCAGCAGCGATCAGTAGAAGCAGCAGCCAGGCGGAGGGTGGAGGGATCCGGCCCCACCCCTTCTGTGGAAGGATACATGTGACAGGGTCATGCGCGAAGCGGCTCCTCCTCCCTGGTGGCAGGGTGGGGCAGGATGGGGCGGAGGGATACGCAGTCCAGTGGGACACAAGCGTGCATAGTCCCGGGCGCCGATGTGTCCCTACGCCCGGGACTCTTTTTTTGTATTGGGCTTGTTGCCTAGGAGGGCATCAATTTCTTGAATGATGGATGGGGTCAGCTGGGCCAGCACCTGCCAAGAGAGGGTGGGGGTGAGACCCCTTAGCCCAGGCCCTCCCTTCCTGCCAAAAAGGAACCCAAGAATCCAGGCTCCCAGCCCACCCCCACTCTCACCCCTATTCTGTGCTCCTCCAGAGCCAGAGAGAACCCAGGAGTCCAGGATGCAAGGCATGGGAGGGATGCTCACCTGGATGGCTCCAAGGTTTTCGATCAGCTGATCGGCGCTGGACACCCCAAGCAGGACAGAGCTGACACCCTCAGAGCGCAGGCACCATGCTGAGAGGCAGAGATTGGGGGGAATCAGTCCAAGAGTGCCTCTTGCTGAACCCCCACCCTGCTCCCTGCCCCACAGTGCTGCCCTGGGGCAAGTCCTGCCTGCCAGGGGAGAGTGACCCCTGCTGAGCTCCTGCCCCACAACACCCCCTGATGCTGCTGTAGGGAGAGCACCTCCTGCTGAGCCTCTGTCTCACAGCCCCCTCACCAATTGCCAGCTGGGCCACAGTGCAGCCAAGACGCTCGGTGATGGGCTGCAGTTCTTTGATCTTGGCCTGCTGCTTCCTGCCATCCTCGCTCTGCAGCTTCTCCTTCAACCATTGGTAGCCCTGAGGGCAGAGCATCAGGGAAAGTCAGGGATACTGGTGGGGAAGTCAGAAGTGCTGGGGGGGAGGGTTAGAAGGAACCCAGATGGGGGCGCTGGGGCAGTAAGGCGGGTGGGGGATTGATAGAAGGGGCCTCCATTGGGTATTGGGGACATAGAAGTAAAGGGGCTTGGCAGGGCTCAGTGTCCTGGCAGGGCAGGTGACAGGGTACAGGCAGGTCAGGGTACCAGCAGGGCATGAAGGGAGACATGGGGTGGGAACGGGTCCTGCCAGGGCATGAAGGGGGAAGTACGGGGGAGAGTCAGAGTCTCAAGGTCCTGGCAGGGTGTGCGTGTGTGGGAGTATGGGGAAGTAGGGTCCCAGCAGGGCATGTTTGGGAGAGTATGGATGGGGTCAAGATCCTGGCAGGGTATAAAGAAAGTATGGGAGGATCAGGACCTTAGGGTCCCAGCAGGGCGTAAAGGGATGTATGGGGGAAGGTCAGGGTCCTAGTAGGGCACGAAGGGGCCAGGGAAGGAACACGGGGAGAGATGGGGCTCCTCATACCTTGATGGCTGCCCGGCAGTTCTCAGGGACTCGCTCTTCATACTTGCCAGTGATGAGGCCACAGGCTAAGGGGGACCAGGTGACGGCGCCCACTCCTGGGGGGGGTGAGCAGAAAGAACAGGTCCCAGCAGGGCAAGAGGGGGCCCTTCACCCCACACATCCCCTGCCCCAAAAAGTCCCAACATCCCCCCAATGGCCTGCCCCATGGATCCCCCTCCTCCCATAGCCCTGCCTGCCCCAGCTCCCCTCTGCCCTATACCCCCCCACCCCATAGACACCCTATCCTCACCCCCACTCCATTGCAGGTACCCACCAATCTTATGGTAGAGCTCCGGGAGCTGGGTCTCCACCTTGTCGCGGTGGAACATGTGGTACTCTGCTTGCTCACACACTGGTGGGATGAGGTTGAACTGCCGGGCCACTGAGTACGCCTCCTGCGGGCAGGGGTGGGGGTGAGATGCATGGGGTAGCTCTTGCACCAGGCCTGGCCAGCCTCCCACTGCCTCCCTCTGCCAAACTGAGGGCTTCCTCTGGCCCCCCAACAGGATCACTCACCATGATCTCCATGGCACTCCAGCGTGAGGTGCCCCAGTACATGGCCATGCCCTGGTTGATGACGTAGGTCATGGCCCGCACAATCTCTGGGAACGGTGGGGGGAGGGAACAGGAGAGACAGGTCAGCCAAAGATCCCCTGCTATTCTCCCACTCTGCATCCCCACCTGTTCAAGAGGCAGGACTTGAGTCCCACTCAGTCACCATATTCACTCTGAACTCTACTGATGGCAGGCTACTGCCCTTGCAGAGACATGACCCACTGCTGCTTGCATAATGCTGATGCTGAACCTTACCAATGGGGGTGCAGGGCAATAAGTGTGTTACTGCAACCACCCACCGCCTATGTAAGAGGGAGTGTTAACTCAGAACCCTGCTGATGGTAGATTCCAGCTCTGACAGAGACTCAATCTGCAACAGCTTACATGGTGTTAACACTGAACTCTACCGAAGGTAACTGTTAGCCCTATCTGCAAGACAGCTGCACTACAGGCCCTCCCCATATAACAGTGAGTGTTCATTCTCAAGTCCTCTAATGCCATGTTTCAGCCGCACCTGTGGAAAAATGGCTCCGTCAGACCTACAACCTGCTGGCAGTGATCCCATAGGAATGTTAAGCCTGGCCCCTACCAATGGGAAAGTACATCTGAATCATGCTGACAGAAACAAGGCTGGTACCATTTAGCTCAATAGACTGTTGACTCTGAACCCTACTGATGAACACACACCCCATCTCCACCCCCAAAAACATTACTTTACGAGCTGACAGCCCTCTGCATGGACACATAGTACAAATCCCACCTTTTCAGGTAGAGTCCTATAACCCACATCAATCCAGTGGGGAGATCTCTACAAACACGTCTGGATTGATGTGGGTCAGGGGGCTATAAGGTTATATGGAGTAGGTTTCTACAGGGCAGGGGCTACAGGGTTTCTAATCTACAGGGTCTATGTGGGGTTTGTGAGTGATTCAGGGTTCTATGGGTTGTGGGGTTTCAGTGATCTCTATCCTATGAGGCTGGGCGTATGTGGTTTGGGGGTCTATGGGTATTCAGGAGGGTCTCTGCCCTACCGAGTATTCAGGAGGGTCTATGGAGTGGTTCAGGGAGTATATGGGTTTTGGAAAGAGCTATACAAGTTTGGGGGGACTCTAGCCTATAGGACTGGGTCTATGGGGCTGTGGAGGGATTCCATGGGGTAGGGATCTATGTGGGTTTAGGGGGGTGTTGCTCCAGTACCTTCCAGAAGCAGTAGGCGGAAGTTGGGGTCATACTCTGCAGGGGAGGAAGCAGATAGAGGTGAGCAGGGCTATGGGAAGCCCCCATCTGCCCCACAACTCCTCCATGAGATATCCTGGGGGGAGGGCTCTCAGTGCCAGGGTGGGGATGCCCCAGGAGGGCAGTGCTGGAGGGACAGGGGCAGAAATTACCTTCCATGGGGCTGTTGGCATCCATGCGGTTGGCAAAGATGATATCCACGTAGTCCAGCTGCAACCGCTCCAGTGACCCTTTCAGCCCTGGGGGTGTGGGCAGGGTGGGGTCAGTTGGGGGGCACTGAGATTCCCCCCTGGCTTGGCACCCTGAATCCTGCCACGGCACCCTGAATCCTGCCACATCCTCCCAGGTCCCTCCCTCCTGGGCCAGGTGCCCCCCAAGCTGTCCCCTCCTCCCCTCAGCACCCCCCACCTGCTCAGCCATCCCCAAATTCTGACAGCCCCCCACACCATCTCCCCGGCAAACCCAAACCTGCCCCATCTCCCCTCCTGCTGACTCCTCCCCTCAGCTCTGCCCCCAGCAGCTCAAATCCTGCCCCACTGCTTCCTCTTCTCCCCCTTCACCCCACCCAATCCCACTGTGGTCCCCGCCTGTCATCTCACCCTCGATTATGTGTTTCCTGGAGAGGCCCCGCTCTGTCTCTGCCCTGGGAAGAAAGAGATTGAGATGGGGGGAGGGGGAGCATCCCTTCAGTGTCCAGCTGCTGGCTCTCAGGGCCCAAGGCCACTCCAGAACCCCCCTCCTCCTGCCATATTGGGAGGAGACCAGGAAAACATCTCATTGACAAACTGACACCCCCTAGAGGGGACAGGCCCCATTCCCTATAAGCCAGCCAGTCCCTGCCCTGGGGCCAAATGGGAGCCAAGGCCCCCTAGAGGGGACAGGCTCGGTGCTGATTCCCCACCCCATGGCATTCCGAGTACTCACTGGCCGCCCCAGTAGATCTTGGTGGTGATGACGTAGCTGGATCGTCTGGGGGAGCAGAGGACAGCTGGTTAGATGGGCAATGGTATCGGGACCCTAGCCCAGCCCCACTGGCCCTGCTCCCCAGTCCTCCCACCCTGCTCCCTCTGCCCCATAGTGCCCGTTACCTCCAGCCTTTGCTCCTCAGGATGTTTCCCAGGGTTTTTTCTGCCCTGAAAAGAAGAGGGAGGGGGAAAAAGCCAACCAAATAGATAAAAGAGAAAATAGAGAAACAAGAGGAGGGTGCCTGCCCTCCCCCAGAGCACTGCACACCCTAGACAGGGATCCTGGGTTCTCCTCTACCAGGGGAGGGTAGTGGGGGCTGGTGGGTTAGAGCAGGGGTGCTGGGAGGCAGGATACTTGGGTTTTCCCCTGGCGGGGGAGGGGACACCTACTTGCCGGAAGCGTAGACCTCGGCCGTGTCAAAGAGGTTGACCCCACTCTCGTAGGCGATAGTGAGCACGTTTTCTGCCATCTGGGGATGCAGAGAGTGGAGTCAGCAGACCCACAGCTCCCCACCCCTCCCACACCTGTGTCAGATCCCCCCCATCATTACAGTCAGGATCCCTCAGGGACCCACAGCTCTCCAAGCTTACCTCATCTGAGATCTGGGAACCAAATGTCACCCAGGTGCCTGTGGGGAGAAAATCAGCAACATGAGCTGGAGCCAAGAGAGGGCAGGATAGGACTCCTCTAACTCCTCCAGTCTGTGCCCTCCCAAGCACCCTGTAGTCCCATTGTGATCCACCCATGTGACCCAGAAACTCACCCAGCCCGAGGCAGGACACACGGAGCCCAGATTTACCCAGATTTCTGCAAAAGAAGGAGAACAATGGAACAGGCAGTTACACAGGCACCCCAGCACTGCTAATGCTCTTCAGTTACACAGAGCCCTGCTCCAGAGGTGGCTGTGAGGTGTCCCTGTGTAACCAGCTACCCTGGCACCTTCTCTAGATGTGACTGTACCTCAGCGCTAGGTGAGGGGTGCCTGTGTGACCAGCCACCCCATCCCAGAGGTGGCTGCATCTCACCATCAGGCAAGGAATCCCTTAGTAACTGGCCGCCTCATCCCAGATGTGGCTGCATATCAGTGCTGAATGACAGGCCCCATATATGCAGCAGATACATGTTTTCTGGTATCCCAGCCTCCCCAGGACTGTGGGTCACTCCCTGTGGCCCAGAGGCCTGGGGTCAGCCTATGATGCCTTTTTGGGGTATAGGCTGGGTTAAATTTCATAGCTATTTATAGTCCTTTCTTGCTGACTGTGGCTGTTTTATGCTGCCCAAGCCAGAGTCAACCAGGCTGGCTCAAGGGATGGGATCTGGGCATGTCTGGCAGGAGCTGTGAGGGAAAACTGAGGCACTGACCACAACGACAGGCCATGCCAGAGAGCTAAACCCCACTTCCCTCCCAGAGCCAGGGAGAAAACCCAGGAGTCCTGGCTCCCAGGCCCCTGCTCTAACCACTGGTCCTGACTCCCCTCCCAGAGCCAGGGAGAGAACCCAGGAGTCCTAGCTCCCAGCCCCCCCTGCTCTAACCACTAGCTCTGACTACCCTCCCAGAGTTGAGGAGATAACCCAGGAGTCCTGGCGCCAGCCTCGCCTGCTCTAAGCACTGACACAGGTAATTTTATCATTCTCAATATTCCCCTCTGAACAGACTCCTATCCTCAGAATCCCCCCAACTCACTCCCCCACCCCCCAACCAGCCTGCCTGGCTT